CCTCCCCCTATTCCTATAAATACCCCCCTCATTGCTTCATTTGAAGGGCTCCAAATTTGTTGCTCCCAAGGCTGAATTGTCTTAGCCAAGGGTTGCTTTCTTCTAAGGCGGCGAAGCCCTGCCGGAGCGAGGAGTCGGGGTTTTCTAAGAGAGCGGCGAAGCCCTGCCGGATCGAGGAGTGAGCGCGCCTTCTGCAGCAAAGAGTCTGCTTCTTCATTCACCCCCGTCTGATCCTTAGTATTGGCCTTGGCGTCGATACTAAGAAGAGCTAATACCTCGCTTAGCCGAGGTAGATGCCATAAACTCTGAGATCTCACGCGGATCGAAGGGGTTCTGTTTCTATATCCCTCCGAGGATAGACGAAACTCTGCCGGATTTTCCCGGAAAGGATCAAGATCGACCGGTGGTCCACGGATATCAACATCCCCGTCACAGGCCAAAGACTCACGCAAGCAAGAGATGACAAACAGCTCTTGCGTTTGTTTGAAAGGAGTTGCCTTTATTTTGTTTTCATTGTGTAAAGGCCTTATAAAAAGGCTATCTTTTTATTTCATTGTAACGATTGAAGTTGTAATGAATGCAGCAATGAATACAGCAACTTTTCACGCAAACAATTTGGTGAGTGAACTTAATAAGCAAGCAAACAGAAACCCAACTAACAATTAATCACAACAGCAGAACATCAAAGTTTTGGACAAACTTGAACTACAGTTTGTGAATGAATTTGCAAAAATAGAGGTATCCTTATAATAACCAAATCAAAAGAGGCAGATTAATTATAAGTAAACAACATCTAAATTTTGGTTTGTATGTGATACCCCTTGCATCCTCTGCAACAACTCTCATGATCACCTCAACCCCCTTATTTTCTAGCAAAAGCTCTAATCTTAACCACCATAAATCTATGGCCCTATTTGGTAACGGGTTAATAGAGAGATTAACAGAATGGACAATTGGGCTCCAACGATTCAAGGGGAAATACTAATTCATTGTAAACAAGTGAGTTTACAAGAAATATGATAGAAATGTGTTCAAAAAAACAAAAAAAAACATAATACGGAATTATATCATTTATAGATGGTCAAGATAAAGCTTTGGAGTTCATATGAGTTATCAGTTGAACGACGTTACAAGGTGTTTTCTCTTCTCGATGTTGGATTTTCTTACGTGTTTCATCTATGATTGAAGGCATTTTGACGCTAGAAAGAATTACCTATGAATTTATTTATACACATCCAATCAATTTGGGGGGGAAATTATGAATTTTCATGCCATAATAACCTGAAGTGCAGAAACATTGGATGGGAACTGGGAAGCCA